TTCATCAAGCTTTCATGTTTTTGAAAAGCGGTCTCGGGTAAACGTTATTAATATCTAAAAAACAAGCTTTCCAACACTTTCATTGTTTTATGATTATTACATATCATAGTTTTTTCTGCTCTTCGGTTATTATTTCAATATTATATTATTCAGTTGATATAGTAGTCAAGCTCAATCTCTCACCACATGACAAACTTTTTTCTCTTGGAAACACTGAAACGCAGACATGAAATTCGCCAATTGAGTCGGATGAAACGGATCGAAGAAAATATATGTTTGGGGCTCCTTACATGCCCTCGCAAATGGCCTACAAGTCGTGGTTGAACGTCCATCATAAACTTTAGGACAACATGGGCTTGTCGTGTTCAATAGATTCCAACTAGCTTGATTGCTCGAAGGTCCACGAAGTCCCAACACGAAACTGAAGTAATCTGAGTATAAAAAGGAAGTGTTGGAGTGTGTGTGCTTCAAATGAGATAAGCTTCTTCTTAGCTTGACATTGAAATTGGTGATCGCATGGTTTAAATAATCGTCGCAGCTTCCAGGTGGTACCGTATTAGCAATGATATTTGGGTAGTAACCTAAAGGTTTAATGTTATTGATGAAGAACTTCCTTGATCCTAACCTATGCAATCTCTACAACAAAAAATCAAAATCTTAAGCTAAACAATATTTTGATTAACGCTTAAAACCCTAGCGTAGTTAGGTTGGAAAATGGAACTTACCATATATAATCCTTAGAACTAGAAGTGTTCAACCCATGATGGTTATGGTTTCGGTTCGAATTTCTCAAGGCTTATGAGATTTCGATTTTAGAAAAGTAACTACCAAAAATTGAGAAATATTGGTAATAAAGGGTCAATTAACTCAATATACACACGTTATAGACAAATTAGAAAGATGTACAAAGAAAACAATGAATTGGTAAAATATACAAAGGCTGCAAGCAGAAAAATGTTTTTGCCCACGATTCTTGGTTTTGGCAACTAACAGATTTAGTAGCCAAAATCTTGGTACGTTAGACTAGGTTATAGGCTACTGTTTAATCATCATTAGTTCTCTAAAAGCACACAATATACCTGCACGAAGCGGTGGTATTAAATGCTGGGATTTACCAAATCCAACGCCTAAACATATAATGTATACATACATAAATAATATATACACGCGTATATACAAGCAAACGCTTAATCTCTATATATCATTGTAACCTCCATCAAAAGAACCTCCATAAAAAAAACCTCACCTCCTGCAACTTTTCTCTTCGCCTTAACCTGAAATCAGCAGGAAACTTGGAAGGTTAAATTAATTCGATGTTTATTACACAATTCTTTGTGAGAAACTTGGAAGGTTAAATTAATTATTGCACCATAGAACATTTAGATGTATTGCTAAGATTTTGTTTACCCTGATCTTGTTACCAATAAATGCAGCATCATATTGAAAACAGGTTAAAATTAAATATATATTTTACCTCTTAACTTATTTTTTAACGCGATAACAAAATTGTTAAACATGAAATTATTTGTTTAGCTCATTACAAAAACTTGTAACGTTGCTTTGTAACATATTAAAGTACAAAGTATACCATATCAACATGATTGTTGTACGTCTAACTTTGTTTTTAACACAATAACTTGATTATTAACTATTAAATTTCAAGTTAAATGTATATACAAAATGTAATATGTAAGCATAGACACCTAAATAAAAATTTATCGCGTTACTTTTTATTGTAACAAGATAACAACTGCATGTATACAAAATTAAGAGTGTTCGTCTCTATCTCCTAACTCGTCTTCTTCGACACGCTCTAACAGTGGTTACTATAAATAGTTATGGTGGTGATATCTCCGATCAAACCCTATGACAAACTACAAATCGTCTTCTCTAGCAAGTTTTTTGTTGGGTACAATTTTGTTCGCCATAGCTTCATAAAGAAATAAAACCGCATAGCTCATTGTTGTGTCGAATATCAAATCAGCACACATCCACTCCTTTTTCAAAACCCAACTCACCGAGTAATCATACCGAGATTTCGCTGTGACGGTGGAATAATGGATATGATTTGGTAGTGTGAGAAAAAAAAACTCAACACATGATAAAATCAATTTGATCGACTACAGAAAAAAGTTGAAGAGATTAT